CCCTTTCTTAACCCTGACAATGACCATGACGTGGCCACAACCACGGCACACTGCACAAGTATTGTGTTACGGACTTTGCCAGGGCTCGATCCCTAGTCTATCTTTTGCTGTTTCGGCTGCATCCCGTTTTCGGCCTGGCACCCTTTTTCCAAACCCCTTCTTTGGTACCGTAGGATTTTGGACAACTGGCGCCATGCTGCAATTCGGGCGCCACTTTCAAATACTGCATTTTTCAGTTCTGCCCTCGGGGCCTTTGCAGAAATGCCCCTAGTACCGTACGTGTCACCGGTACTTATACCGGCTCCCCGTACGGTACGGGGGCCAGTCTCGGACCAGTTCTCTGCTGCTGTACTCGTACTCAGTGTGACTTGCTGTTTCGGCATTCAGAATCCAAGACTTCGACTTTGTGCCTCGCCATTGTGTCTGCGTCCGATCCTCAGTYCGAGTCCGTCGTGTCGAGTGAGTGAGTGTGTGTGTGTGCTCTCACTCTCTCCCTCTCTCTCCTTTCCCTCGGCTCACCCTCAGCCTGACGCTCGTTACATATTGCGCGTTCCTTCTTCAAGCAACTCTTCTCCTCACAGATAACAAATCCCCTTGAGGAAGGGCACCAAAAGGAGCTGAAGGATTTCCTCGGCCCATTGGATAAAAGTCTTTGCCCTCAACAGAAAGCACAACTGGAACAGCCTATTACGCAAGAGGAAATATGGACGGCCCTCCTCCAGATGGACGAGGACAAAACCCCAGGGGTGGACGGTTTTCCCAAAGAATTTTGGGAAACAATGTGGCCGACCCTACACCAGGATTTGATGAGCTACTACAAGGCGATGTGGGACACAGGACAGATGGGGGAATGTTTGGGTCAGGGGGTTTTGTCCCTCCTATACAAAAAAGGAGATAAAATGAACATCAGAAACTACCGACCCATCACCTTGCTAACGGTTGTTTACAAAATGCGTGCAAAAGCCCTTGCAAATCGAATGCTTGAGGTGATGGAGGATATTATTCACCCGGCCCAATCAGGATTCATAAGGTCCACAAACATCCAAGAAAATATACTCCTAGTCAATGAGATGATTCACCTGGCGCAGCAGTCTAAACAGAACGCGGCCTTCATCTTCATTGACTTCGAGAAAGCCTATGACCATGTGGACTAGACCTTCCTTGATGCATGCCTATAGAAAATGAATTTTGGGCCCAATCTGAGAAGATGGGTTCATATCCTCCACCACAACGCCACGACACGGGTACAAATAAACGGAAACTTAGCACCCGCAATCACCCTGCAGCGCTCGGTTAGACAAGGGGACCCCATTGCCCCCTTTCTTTTTGTAATAATTATGGAAGCGCTGTCGGCCAATCYACGACAGAACAAGGACATCCGGAAAATTAAGATTGCAAAAATCCCAGATGAAGCCATCCCGGTATGCTCCCTCTTCGTCGACGATCTCACAATAATGATCGACGCCTGGGAAGGAAACATGGAAGAGATACAGAGGATGATGGACCGTTTTTGCAAACTGTCTGATATGGCGGTCAACTGGGGGACCAAAACAGTGGGATGGTGGATGCACCACCAAGGGGGACGACCGCCTGAAGTTCCTCGCATTAAATGGCTCCCCCTGGAAGCCAAGGTGAGAGTGTTGGGCGTCCAACTGATAGCGACCGGAAAGCCAACCACGAATGATGTATGGGTCCAGACGCCCACTCAAAACAAGATGACCGAATGGAACCAGAAACACACCTCAATTTTTGGGAGGGCACTCGTCATCAATAATGTAGTTATGGCATCACTCTGGTACAAATCACTCATTTGGCCTCTACGTATTGCAGCCATGAAGGCGTTCAAGAAGCAAGCAACAACCTTTCTGTGGAGAGGAGACAGCGGGTCGGAACACACCATCAGTAGGGTGGCATGGGACGCAATCATCCAACCCAAGGCTAAAGGGGGCCTGGGAATTATCGACCCGACTCTCCAAACCCAGGCCCTCAGCATGCAATGGATTAAAAACCTCATCCTGAAATTCCCCCAACCCTGGCACCCGTTAGCCATGTAACAGATCGCCAGGCTTGCACCAGAGACCCCGGCAGGGGTGGACCCGCTTCTATGGTTCAATGACAGGTACTGGAAACTCCCCCGCAGGGGGAGAGGAGACCAAAGGGATGGACCCTTAAAAGACGAATACTGGCCACGCATGATCAAAATATGGCGGAAGATGCCCCCCCCAGACCGTCCGGAACCAGAGAGATGGGAGGAAGTATATCGACAACCCCTCTTTGGCAATCTGCGCATCAAGGACTCCTACGGTCAGGTGAGGTGCAGCTCCAACCCTCCATGGAAAGGATGGATCAAACATGGGATATGGAGGGTGGGTGACCTATGGGACGTTAGAACAAGAACATGGAGGAATACAGAGCAAACGAAAGAAGAATTACGCTATTGCCACCATGTGCACGAGGCTTTGGAAGGAATAATAGAAGCTCTCCCCCTCCAGTGGTATAATATTTTAAGAGCGGGTCCGGTTCATAAGGAAGGGGACTGGGTGATGATGAAAGGGAACTTTGGTAAGGTTGGAAGGATCCATCTGGTCAGACCAGAGGAGGTGCTAATTGAGCTCTATACAATAACGAAGGGGAACAGACTAATTGGCAGTACAGCTCTCTTTGTCTGGGCTCCCAAAGAAGAAGTTAGACGGGTCAGAGTGATGGGGGAAGGGGACAACCACTGGGTATATAAACCTGGCACCCCGATCACTGATCTGGGTCTCGATCCCATTGAGTGGAGATGGAAACCAGCTAGCCCGACACGAGGTGGTACCCACAGGGACACAACACTGGAATCCCTCTCTGTTAAAACTACGTACAGGATGATCAGGCCACGATGAAACTTAAAAGACACAGTGAATGATCGGTGGTATAGACACCTGAACGTTGCTAGACATTTGCTAACCCTGATTCGATGGTTCCAGGACAGCAAGAGGAGGCCAGCCAAAATCACCTCCCTACAATGGCAGATAACCCACAGATGCTTACCTACCAATAACTGGCTCATTGATCACACCAGGCTGGAACAGCAGGGCCGCGCTCTCCCCTGGTGCAGCAGATGCCTACGAGGTTACCCGTCTAAGAAAGCGGCCGAGACCATCGAACACATCTTTCTACAACGCCCGAACGCCGTCCTCACCTGGCGCTGGTGGGACCGGATCTGGCAGCACATAGCTCCTGGATCCCTCTGGCCATGGGACTGGCGGGCCATCCTAACAGGCCACTGGCCAGGACGGCCCGAGGAAGATTTTGTGAATAATATGTTTGACCGGGGGAGACGAACAATCTTATGGACGTTGTGGTGGCAAAGATGTGTTTTGACAATGGAGGAAGTACGATTGGAGGGGGAGGAGGTGCGTGAGCACATCAAGAATCAACTCCAGCTGGACATAACTGATAGATGGCAGATAGTAAAACGTAGGCTAGACCTTTTTCAGCAGCCAAAGGACATCAGAGAAAAYATCACTAAATTYKGTCAAGAATGGTTGGGAGGGGAAAGAGGCGGCTGGATTGCACAGGTGAGATGGTCAGGGGATGCAGGTGAGTTTCAGGGGGAGGACGAGAGGGTAAGCAGGGATTATTGCCTGCGATTTAARGATTGGACTGATATTGACCWGAGCTTCCCAATGAGGCYCGCCTCCGACTTCCCGGACCCCTTCCCTCCACATCCTTTATCCCTAGTAGAAATAACTGGGTCTTGAGTCGGGAGTTTGGATGGGTTATGCAGGATGGCACARAAAGCACTCTTGACAATCAGAGCAGCAATTAAGTGGGGGAAGGCTCAGCCTTAGCCCCTGCTACAGCCCCGTTTACAGGACASATCAGGATGGGACGCTGGACCCGTTTTCCAGCATCGGCTCTCACACAAAAGTTTGGCTGTTTGCTTGTTGTCTGGTTGCTGCCCGGTTTACTTAGTC